TATAGATAAAATAATCTATAAAATGCTATTAAATTAGTATATAAATATAATTAGGCTTACCCTTATAAGTATTGCACAATCTATTTATTATAACTATCTATTCTTATACTTATATACCCGCGTTATTATAGTAATCTACTTTATAATATACTAATATATAACTTCTATATTATATTCCTCCTTATAATATCTTTTCTTACTTCTTTATTCTCTTTTACCTCTTTTTTCTCTCACATATTTAAAACTATTATAATAATAGACCCTACTCCTTTCTTATTATTCTCTATTACTTCTACGTTACCTCCTCCTAGATATTATTAGTATATATTCTCCTTATTATTATCTTCCTTAGACTCTATTTTTAACTACCTAACTATATCTATACCCCTACTTTAAGTCTTAGCTTTAATAACCTACTATCGCTAGTTCGTAGCTATATAGAATAACTTATAGTAAGTAGTCGAGTTAGAAGTACTATATCTACCTATACTCGCCTCTAATAATTATATAGAGGGCGCTTCTCTAATATAGAACTTAAATCTATAAAAACCTCCTGAGTAGGTAGACTAGAAGCTAGCTTCTAAATTAATACGAGAGATATAATAGCTCTAGAAATATATTAAACTTTAAGATTAAATTATTATATATATTATTCTTTTCTTCTTACTAGAAGAGCGAGTAAAAAATTAGCTCTATAATTTTAATACTTAAGGATATATATACCCTCAATATATTCTATAGGGGCAGAGTACTAGTTATCTATAAGGATAACTGCCCCTACTATATTATTTATAAAGGTTATTATATCTTTAGTGGAGATAATATTATTCAATACTATAGCTAGGTTATAGCCTCTATAGATACCTACCTCTATCACTATAAGGAAAATATTATTTTTACTTTTAGCTCTATACCTATTAGAGAGCCTTATATTAACCCGTATATCTCTATAGTTTACTACCTAAAATAGCTATTTATTTCGCCTATTTGAAACTAAATAATATATTTTTTTATCCTCTATATTAAACTATTTACTCTTAGTTACCCTACTAACCCCGCACCCTATATTAACTTAATTAGGCCTATTAAATTTAACCTAGAGTTTATCTTCTATAAGTCCCTGCCTTTTATTTCTATCTAGAATAAGCTTTATAATATTAATTTAGTATAAGATATTCTAGCAAATCCTTATACGCCGCTTATTAATATAGATAAATAATAGGAGTATAGTACTACTAATCCCTTCTCTATATATAATTATAATAGTTATCCTATTACTAAAGAATAAGAATATATCTACTCCTAGCTATCTAGTCTAGAATATCTTACTATAGAAGAATATATCTACTCCTAACTATCTAAACTAGAATCTACTATTAAATTTATTACTACTTAGATTAATACTATCAATACTCCTACTATACTAAAAAATACTATATTATAATACCTACTTAACTCCTTACTAGATATAACCTTAGTAAATATATTTTTAAAATATAAAGCTAGTAATACTAGTTAAAATAATACTAGAGATAAGCTACGCGAGAAGCTTCGCTATTTTAATTATACTTACTCTCTATAAGACTCCCTAACTTTTAAGTTAAACCCTCCTCTACTACTTTCTATAGATAATAATACTACTAACTGTGTCTTTAAGGGCCTAGCCTACCTATATATCTTTAATACCCTAACTAATTAAATTATTAATAACTACTAAGCTAGTACTATTAATAATTATATATTTTGCTAGCGTATATTTTAAATTAGTATATATATAGAGGCTTACTATAATAATCTTATTAAAAATATAGTTACTAAATTTATAGAGTAATAAATCACTCTTAATAAGGTAAATAAAAATATTTCTAAAATTATTACTTTATTATAAGGAGTATAGAATATATTCTATAGTATAGTAACTATACTAAAATAAGCTTAAGAGGGTTTACCTTAATTATATCTTAATATTAACTTGTATATATTAGTTATACTTAACTAGATAGTAGTTAATACTCTTACTCTAGGTAGTGTATTAACTATTAAGAATCTACTTATAACTATATTAGCTAATAATATTACTCTATAAGATATCTTATATATAGATATTAATATAACTATTAATAGTATTTATTTTAGAAACCCTAATAATAATATAGATATTAATAAAGCTCTAAAAGCTATATAATTATAGAATATCTTAATAACTATATTTCTATTTATACCCTTTCCTTTATACTTATATATAAAGATTAGCTCTAACTTATTTTTATTTCTAATAAGACTAATATAATATATTTTATATTAATATATCTTACTTTTATTTTTATAATATAATGATCTACTACAAGAATATACTAATCTTTCTTTAATAGGCTAACTATTATATCTAGGTATCTACCTTTTAGTAAATATATACTTAATTATTATATATTTAGCCTTTATCTTAGTTATTATATTACTATATATATTATATAGAGTACACGTTATTTAAACACATATAAAGATATCTTGACTTTACCAACGATACTATACTAA